GGCCCTACGACCCGCGCCCGGAGCCCGAGCCCGGGCCCTCCTCGCCGCCGCTGCCCGCGGGGCCCGGGAAGGAGGAGCCGGAGCCGCGCCCGCCGGAGCCCAGGCCGCCCCGGAGGGCGACCAAGCCCAGGAAAGCTCCCAGGAGGGAGAAGCTGGCTCCGGAGCCGCCTCCGGCAGGTAGGAAACTCTGGGCTCCGGGCGGCCCGAGGGGCGTCCGTGATCGCGCGCCTCGAGGGGCCACGGGCGCCCCGTGTGTGTGCCTGGGGCGAGGGAGCCACGATGACCTCCCCATCGCCGCCCAGGCTCCCCAGAGGTTGCATCTGCGCTTCCCGGGCTCCTCCCGGCTCCCCAGAAATTCGCAGTGGTCCGCGTGCCGTCTCTGGTCTCTCTGGTCAGCTCGACAGGGAGCTGGACAGTTGGGAAACTGCTTGGGGCGCCTGGTTCCTCTTGCCACAAGTTTGAAATACCCCGGGGAGAGGATTTTTCTGCTGGACACTTTTTCCTTCTCTGCCTACTGTAGTTTTCTTGAGAGTGACTTTCCGCTTTGGCGATGTGGAAGGCTGCCCTCCTTGGCAGATGACCTGGGGAAAGCTCTGCAGGAGTGAGCCCTCACCCAGCCGGTGTTCCCTCCCAGCTCCCTGCCACCCCCTCTCGGAGGGTCCCTGGGATCCTCTGTCCTCCTGGGGCGGGATGACACAGCGTCTGCTGGGGAGTCCGGGCCGAGTCTCTGGGCTTGGTGGAGCCGGCCGGCTGCCCTCGGCCCGGGTTGCTCGGCCTTCTATCATCTCAAGTCCTTTCTCAGTTTGTGCCGGCCTTATCTTAGGGAAGTGACTTCCGCTGTGTTTATTACCCACTTTGCCAAGTGGGGCTTTCTTTTCTCTCCGTTTTTCCAGACGTCCTCTGTCCAAATTGCAGGATTTCAGGAGTGGGGCTTGAGCAGGACTGTGGCCAGTTTCTAGGGCCTTGCAATGGCCTTCCCTGAAAGGAGATTTGTGTTGGTGCCACGGTCACAGGGCTCCAGGCTTGGAAGGCATCAGCTTTGTTTGGTTAAACTGCTCGGGGAAAGTCAGCAGCCAGAGCCGCAGGAAAGTGGGGGTGGGGGTGAGACAGAACTCTGGAAAGGGTGGGCCCATCTTCTCACCTCCTGATCCCCTCTGCACATGCCGCGCAGCCCTGCCATGCTTCAACTTGGGGACAACTTTGTGAGGCATTTCTGTGAGTTGTGCACCAACCCTGAACAGAACCATCTAGAATTCCCAGCGTTTTGGGGACAGTTACAGGAATTCAGATGTGTAAGAACCACCGTGGTTTAAAAAACAGGATTGCGGTGGGAAGAGACACTCGTATTTGCAGAAAATCAACTGGGACTCATGTGCCACTATCTCATTGAATTCTCTCAGTCGCTCTGGAGGGTGGGTGTTGTAAGCGTCTCTAGGCCAATAAAGCCAACTTTGTCAGGCCTTAACCATGACCTTCACCGGAAAGTGTTACCCAAATGCCCGCATTAGGTGAGCTTCCCCCATTTATTCATTTCCTTAACACCCCACACTTCTACACATCCCTGATTACTTTCTCAAAGGCTCACGAGGAACTTTGAGATGAGGAACCCAGGATCAGACAGTTTAAGTAACTTACTCAGTGTCTCTTGCTGGTCTGGGGGGATTTGAAAGCCTTTCTCCTGCGCTTTTGAACTCCAGGCCTTTTTGGTGTGGTGGTTTGAACCAGATCCACATATATCCTTATTTTCCAGCGTCTGTCAGTGTGCCCAACCCAGCCCTGGGCGTGGCAGGGTGGGGTGGGTAGGAGATGTATATACTGGGTTCTGGTGGTTACTGGGGGTGGAGACCGGGGGAGGGCGGAAGTAGAAGGAACCTCAGATGGGGAGTCTGAACACTGGGCAGACCACCATGTTTAGGATTCACCAACTCAGAGCTCTGGGGCTCACCACTCAGCATCCTGAACCTCAACTCTGCCATCTGCAAATAGGAAGACTACCGCCTGCTACTTAGCTATACTCGATTAATCGCTGTAAAGGCTTTTCAACCAGTATGCCTGCCAGCCTGTGGTCACGCTGGCTGTGCGAGTCCTTTGAACCATTTTTGCATTCCTGCTTAGCACCAGGTATGGGTGAGGCCCTAGGGTTGGAGAGAGCAGGCTCTGGCCCCACCCTCGTGGAACTCATGGAAGTTGGGGAATGTTGAGAAAGTAATCAGTGTTGTGCAGAAGTGTGGGGTGTTGAGGAAACGAATAAGCAAGGGTACCTCACCTAGTCTGGGGGCTTGGGCAGTGCTTCCCAGGGGAGGTGATGGCTAAGACCTGACAAGTAAGGTGGCTTTACTGTCGTGGGGATTCTTACAAGTGATCATCATTCCCAAGATAGCTTTCTTTCCCTACAGAAAACAGCTCAAGCCGGGCTCGGTGGCTCAGTCTGTAATCCCATGCCTTTGGGAGGCTGAGGTGAGTGAATTGCCTGAGCCCGCGGGTTCGAGACCCGCCTGGGCCGTGAGACCTCATCTCTACAATAAATCAAAAAATCAGCTGGGCGTGGTAGCGCATGCCTGTAATTCCAGCTACTTGGAAGGCTGAGGCGGAAGGATCGCCGGAGCCCAACCGGTCTGGGTGACAGAGTGAGACTCCAACTCAAAAAACAAAAAAGAAAACAGCTCAGAAAGCCGCAGCCTAGCCTCGACAGTGTTCACAGGCTGATGTGTCTGCAGACCCAGCTGTGGAGGTGGGGAGTTGACTCTCCTTAATCCTGGGAACATTAGCACTTGACAGCCTGGGAATGGGGTCTTTGAAGGAGAAATCAAGAGTGAAGCCTGATTTGCTAGAGAAAGGTCATTTGCTTTCAGAAGGCCATCTTGTAGGCAGAGGTGGGCTTGGGTTAAGGAGGCCTGTCTGTTCCCAGTGAATAGCCCCTGCTCCTGCAAGAAACGAGCCTCATGGCTCAACCTGCCTCTGGTATACACCTGGATCGTGGATCCCAGACTGAAAACAGGACCTTGGAAACTTTCCGATTCAGATCAGAAACCTGTGAGGGGGAGGGGGCTGCTTCCAGGCCTGCCGCTGTTTCAGCCTTGTTTCTAATGAACTGTGTGGGGACTTTTAGAGATTCCCCAAACCATGAAAAGACAGGTGTGACATTTATGTCGTATCTTTAATTCCTGTCTTTTTTTGGGTGGGAGGTTTGATCACGAAAGCCCTTTACTCTGGACCCCAAGGGAGAAGTGGGAAAATTGATTTAAGAATAAGCAAAAAGCTTGATTAGGGGCATCAGTGATAGTTTTGTGCAGTTAAACTGCGCTAGGAGAAAATTATTTTTCCTACATTCAGTGCTGGTTTGATGTATCTACAACTCATGGTGGAATAGAAGTGTTTCCCTATGCACTGGACTGATTTGCACCAGGTGGTCATAATAACTTAAGAAGGCATTTACAGGGGGAGGAACATTGGCCATGGCCTAGGGTGTTTCATGCAAACTTGTGAACTTTACTCCACTGGAAGGATGGTACATGCTGTGTCCCAGGCACTGTCTAAGCACTGAGGTGGGAATAAGGGGTTACACCGAGAGATGCATAAGAATCGTTCAGCCTTGTAATCCCGCGCCTTTGGGAGGCTGAGGTGAGTGGAATGCCTGAGCCCGCGGGTTCGAGACCCGCCTGGGCAGCAAGACCTCATCTCTATAATAAATCAAAAAATCAGCCAGGCGTGGTAGCGCATGCCTGTAATTCCGGCTACTTGGAAGGCTGAGGTGGAAGGATCACCAGAGCCCAGCGGGTCGAGGCTGCGGTGGCCGGGAGTGGCCACTGCACTCCAGTCTGAGTGACAGAGTGAGACTCCAACTCAAAAAAAAAGAAGAAGAAAGCATGCATAACTAATTTTAAAGTCTGTCATGTGCTTTTCTTTACAGATTATAGAATACATTCTAGATAGCCCTTGTCTTGCACAAAGGTGGGGTTCGAGGGAGAATGGAAGACAACCGTTCTGGGCAGCAGGCACAGAGGGAGTTCTGTCTTAACCCTGTAGGAGGGTTCACACAAGGAGCCAAGGGCATGGGGGATTTGATCTTGGTGTGGGTTTTGGCTTTGACCCTCAGCTGTTCTTTCACGCCACCACAGAAATGCCCTTAGACATCGGTCACATGCTGACATTCATGGAGGTTGCTTGGAAAACCTAATCCTTTGGTTAATTGAGAATATTGCATTTTCCATGAATGGCTGACAGATTTCCAGAGAAGTTGAACCTTGATATACTGAATGGAATGGAATCTTTAAAAACACTTATTTAGGCCGGGCTTGGTGGCTCAGCCTGTAATCCCAGCACTTTGGGAGGCTGAGACGAGTGGATTGCCTGAGCCCGCGGGTTCAAGACCAGCCCGGGAAACTTGGCAAGATAGCGTCTCTACTATAAATAAAAAAGAAATAAGCTGGGCGTGGTAGCGCACATCTGCAGTTCCAGCTATTTGGAAGGCTGAGGTGGAAGGATCGCCGGAGCCCAGCAGGTCAAGGCTGTGGTGGACAGGAGTGTGCCGCTGCACTCCAGTCTGGGTGATAGAGTGAGACTCCAACTCCAAAAAAAAACAAAACACTTAATTTAATTTTTATTTTGAAATAATTTTACATTCACAGGAAATTGCAAAAATAGTACAGTGAGGTTCCATGTACCCCACCAATAATGTCTTAGATAACTCTAGTACAGAGTTTCTTATCCTTGGCAGGATTGGTGTTTTAGGCTAGCTGTGTGTGTATGTGGGTGCGACAGGTGAGGAAAGGGATTGCTATCCTATGCATTATAGGATGTTTTGTGGGATCCCTGGCCTTGACCCATTAGATGCCATTAGCACCCTCCCCCAAGTTGTCACAAGTAAAAATATCTCTAGACATTGCCAAATATCCTCAGGGTGTTGAGAATCACTGCTGTGTGTAGTATCAAAACCAGGAATTTGACAAGTGGTATGATATTATTACCTAGATTACAACCTTAATCAGATTTGACCTGTTTTCTAATTTTTTTTTTTGGTTGAGGTGGAGGGTTTTATTTATTATTGTCTGTATTTTTAAAAGCTCAATAGCTTTGGGGGTACAGATAATTTTGGTCTGTGCTTTAAGTGTACCCTCCACTCTCACCTGTGCACATTGTAATCGATAAGTGATTTGACCTCCACACCCCTCCCTTCA